TGCCGTTTCGGGACCCCACTTTGGGTCCCGACCCCAACTTTGGGAAACACTGCTTTACATGACTCGTTTTTCCAATTGGCCATTTACTCCATCGATTTAGACATAGCTAATGACTGCAGAGTCAATTTTCCTAATACTGATTTGTGAAATTAGTTATAATATAAATACAGATATTGTTAATGACATTAAACGTTTGCTTGATCATTTCCAATTAAAAATATCTGAAATTGTTTCCTCTTTTTTATTACAACATAGACATCAAAAACTTATGAATAATAAAACTTTATGACGATCACTAAAACAATACTTTGTTCTAGAAGGAATTAATATTTATAATATTAACTATCTATCCAATCATCCATTTATTAACTATAAATGGCAAATCGACTTGCCATAATTTTGGCTGATTCTGAACCTGCAGAACGAACAGCAGGTGTTTTTTTTTTTTTTTAGGTTATTATAAGTATGAATGAAGTAACGTCAGAACTTATCTCCTATATTTTACAAGCAACATGCAGCAATACAGGAACTGTTCAGTTTTACACAATTATCTTACAATTCTGCCAGAACTCATCATTTCTAATATCCTAAATTCATTTTATCATGAAGCTGTCAGCTATCGACCGTTTACTTTCTGGTACAGCATTCTCTACTACTAGTCATTCAAAACTTTTCACTGCCAAACAAAGCGAAAAATGTTTACTTTGCTACAACAAGCTAGTTTGAGTAACTCATTTAGCCAGAAATAACTGCAGTTTACGACTCAAAGATGCCGACATTCTTTAAATATCCTCTGCTGATTACGGTTTACAGCTGTAAACTTTGGCTTCGTGTCTGACCTTGTAAAGTGCTGTAAAGACGCCCTGTAATCTTTTTACTCTCGTATTTATCAATCATTAGCTGGCTAGGCTAGCTGCCGTTGCGTCAGTGATGCGCGTTGCGTATTACCGTATAACCGAACGTACTGTCGTAGCTTCCCGTTTGACCAATATCGTTAAGTATCTGCTTTTATATGATTTTAAATACGCAAATTCAAGAATATGGCATTATTATTAGCCAAACTATTTCTCAGGGTTTAATAAAGGGATTTAAAATCGTTTTTTATTACTAAGTTTGGGATTTTACAGAGACGCTGATTTCTGCTGTCATGGCAACAACCAGGAAGTGATGCTCTTTACAGTGTAAAGTGAACAATGTAGAAAATCAGTACAAAATTAGAGACCTAACAGCGTATTTAATGACAAAACAGATAACTAAAGGAAAAAGAAGGGTTTTTTTTGTTGCATGAAGTTGCTCACTTTTACAGCAGATTTGATATAATTTATATATGATATAATTAATATAATTTCATATA